AAAAAAAAAAGGCGGACACGGTGGCTCACGCCTGTAATCCCAGCACTTTGAGAGGCTGAGGTGTGCGGATCACGAAGTCAAGAGTTTGAGACCAGCCTGGCCAATATGGTGAAAAACTCTGTCTCTACTAAAAATAACAAATATTAGCTGGGCATGATGGCAAGTGCCTGTAATCCCAGCTACTCGGGAGGCTGAGGCAGGAGAATCACTTGAATCCAGGAGGCGGAGGTTGCAATGAGCTGAGACTATGCCATTGCACTCCAGCCTGGGTAACAGACCAAGACTCAGTCCTAAAAAAAAAAAAAAAATTCCCAGGCCTCCCGTGGCCCCTTGCCCTTCTCTGAAGGGACCCAGATATCCTACCTGCACTTCCCACCCACCCACTGAGAAGCCCCCTCCTATCGCTACCCACCTAAGCCACCCCATCCTGCTCCTTTTTGAGAATCAAACTCAAACCACACCAACTACTTTTTTTTTTTTTGTATTTTTAGTAGAGACAGGGTTTCACCATGTTGGCCAGGCTGCTCTCGAACTCCCGACCTCAGGTGAATCTCCCACCTCGGCCTCCCAAAGAGTTGTGATTACAGGTGTGAGCCACAGCGCCCGGCCAAATTTTATTTTATTTTTAAAAGATATTTTTAGAGATGGGGCCTCACTATGTTGCCCAGGCTGGTCTTGAACTCCTGGTTCACGTGATCCACCTCCGCCACGCAAAGTTCTGGGATTACAAGCATGAGCCTTCGCTTCCGGCCTCCAAATCCCACCTCTTGAAAACCCACGTGCCAGATCCTCCAGCCCGCCCCCTTTGGAGACACTAGTACCTGCAGTCCCCTCCCCGTTCTCTAGGGCCCGCCCTCTCCTTTCACTCTGGGCGAGGCCGCGCCTATCCCGGCCACATCGGTCCCCGCGGCGCACGGGAGTCTCTCATGGCTGTGGCGTTGGCCCCATGGGGGCGACAGTGGGAAGAGGCCCGCGCCTTTGACCGGACGGTGAGGCTGCTGCAGCGCCTGGAAGAGCAATGCAGCGACCCCCGACTGTCCATGAGTCCCCCTTCGCTTCGGGACCTGCTGCCTCGCATAGCGCAGCTGCTTCAGCAGGTGGCTCAAGCTCGTCGGGCTGCCGGCGGAGGCGACCCCGGGGATCCCGGAGGCTCCGGGAACTTTCTAGTCATCTACCTGGCCAATCTGGAGGCCAAGAGCAGGCAGGTGGCCGAGCTGCTGCCGCCCCGGGGCCGAAGGAGCGCCAACGACGAACTCTTCCGGGAGGGATCCAGACTCAGGTGAGCCTTCGCCCCGGAACAGAGTCCGCAGGGGTGAGGCCCAGGTCTCTCCCTCCCAGCCCTCCTCCCTCAGACCCAGGAATCCAGACTCCAGCCCCTCCTCCCTCAGACCCAGGAGTCCAGGTCCCCAGCACCTCCTCCCTCAGACCCAGGAGTCCAGGCCCCCAGCCCCTCCTCCTTTAGACCCAGGAATCCAGACCCCAGCCCCTCCACCTTTAGACCCTCCTCCTTCAGACCCAGGCCCCAGCCCCTCCTCCCTCAGACCCAGGAGTCCAGGCCCCCAGCCCCTCCTCCCTCAGACCCAGGAGTCCAGGCCCCCAGCCCCTCGTCCCTCAGACCCAGGAGTCTAGGCCCCCAGCCCCTCCTTCCTGAGGGAACCTGGAAAATGAGCTACCCAGTTTTCTCCTTCCTTGGGCTCATATCCCCGGCCCCCATTTTGCTTTTTCCTTGGTCCCCCAGCAGCCCTATTCTGGTTCCCACTATCCCACTATCTCAGAATTCAGGGCCCTCTTGGGGCTGCCTACTTTGAGGATAAAATAAAAGTTAGCTATTACTATTATTCTCTGATTCAAAGTTCTTCAGATGTGTGCAGATTTGCGATCAGAACTTGGCCTGGTCTGGCCAAGTACGGTGGCTCAAACCTGTAATCCCAGCTCTTTGGGAGGCCAAGCTGGGAGGATCCAGCCTCAGAATGTGGGGACCCCATGGGCTCCTAGGTTGAGAACAGGTAGATGGACACAGCTGAAGAAACTGATCCTTAGGCCCCCATCGTGGACTCTGCCTGGACCACCCACTTGGTCTTCAGTTCCTGGGGAACAGGTGGCTCCAGACCCAACCTTGCCTGGAGACCACCCCCCTCTGTTCTGCACTGAGGAAGGAACCTCAGGCTGACACTCAGAGTGACAGGGCAGGCAAGGTTTGGGGCCCAGAACAAGGTCTAGTTCAGTGACCCCATGCCACTTCGTTATGTCAGATATTTTGTAGTGTTTCCTTTTTTTATTTTTATTTTTTGAGACGGAGTTTCGCTCTTGTCGCCCAGGCTGGAGTGCAATGGTGCGATCTTGACTCACTGCAACCTCCACCTCCCCAGTTCAAGCAATTCTCCTGCCTCAGCCTCCCAAGTAACTGGGATTACAGGCATGCACCACCATGCCCAGCTAATTCTGTATTATTAGTAGAGATGGGGTTTCTCCATGTTGGTCAGGCTGGTCTCGAACTCCTGACCTCAGGTGATTCAGCCACCTCAGCCTCCCAAAGTGCTGGGATTACAGGCGTGAGCCACTGTGCCTGGCCGGAGTTTGCATCTTTAAGGAATTGATGTTAATTTTGAAATTAAGTGCCAGTAAGTAG